AGCAACAAAAGTGAATGTTTCATCAGAATATGCTATTTTTAAAAAGAGCTTGTACATCTTAACATGATAAAAAATATATTAAACAGTATTTTCTGTTAGTAATACACTGATGTACTGTCAACATCGCAAACTCCTAGGACACCAAAAGAATGTTTTCAATAATGTTCAGAGGCTCCCTAATTTCACACAAAACAGCTATATGAGGGAGGATGACCCTTGTAATCTTTATCCCAATGGTTAGGGTACTGGGATGTGCAAGATCCCCTGATTCAAGTCCCTCCTCAGCCTGATGAGGAGAGAGAATGTGAACAAGGATCTGTCATCTCTCAGGTGAGTACCCTAACCACTGGTCTAAGTTATAAGGGAGGTCTTCCTCCTCTGGACATTGTGTGTGGGCTTTGAGCACACATACAGATTGGGCCCCGCAGGCAAGATAGGTGTCTACCCACCTACCTTCCCCTGGTCTGAGGATCTCTCTGGGGCTTAGGCAGGAGCTGAGTGTGCAGGCATGTAGAGGTTGCAGTGTTCCTGCCCAGAGGCAGAAACCGTCACCTAGGCACTAGGGAACATTTACTGCAAAAATTTAGGTTCAGAGTGAGTTTGGGGACCTACAGGATTAGGCAGCAGCTAAATGGGGGTTTTGTGGATCACAGTGGCCCCTAAAAATGGGACTTGGCATCTAAACCTCCGGCTTAGGTGCCTAAGTACTTTTGTGAATCTGAGCCTTAGGTAATATTTATTATTGACATTAAAACTGTCTGTGCTAAGTCCACTAGAAAAATGCATTTCATTATAGCTCATACTAGTGCTGATTGGTTTTGTTTATACATAGGTACATTTGATAATGGAATAGCAGAAGGCATCATCAGTCCATCAGTAGGGAAAATACAGGCTATTCGTTTATCTATCCATTCTGATTCTCCTGTGTGGGCATTACTGAGTGAGGTAAGCATATGGGAAGCATATTAATAGGTCTATTGTTAAAAGCAGTTTCAGCTCCCATTCCTGCCCCTGAGTCCACCTGCCAATATTTATGGCTTTACAATCCCCTTTTCCTAACTTTTGGAAAAAAAAATTGTGAAAGCCCCATGCAGACGGGGGAAACAACTATACAGGGAAAACATGAAACTGCACAAAAAGTACTGAAAATGGACAAAGGGACTGATTCTCCAACCTTGCCTATGTTGAGTATCACTTACCTGAGTAATCCTCTTTACTTCAATGAGAAAAAGCCTATCAGTAAATACTACTTGGAGTAAGTAAAGCTAGTAGAATTTGCACCATGATGTACACAATTTTTCTCCATGATTCATTTGTTTACTTTTATTCTTTTCTATCTTCTCTTTCAGTAGTAGCAATCTCAGGTGCTGTTTGTAGCAAGAGTAGGCAAACCTCTTCAGACAATAGTGTAATTTTATAACTGCTTGTGTCTGACTTTATAGACTCAATAGTCTCATCTCATGGGGGGAAAAAATCTCAAAGGATTTCACTGAAAATCTGGAGGAAATCTATCACTGTATCTGAAAGGGGAAAATAAATAACTTTTATTCTAACATTTGATACGATTTTTGTAAATTTATCATATTTTATTCTTCCCTCCCCCCCCCTTTTTTTGCAGATATTTATCAAGACTTCCTGAAAATACAAAACTCCAGAAAATCACATTTTTGATGCGTCTTTTCTTAAGGATTGCTTTGAAAAACAGGCCACCTAGTGGTAGCAACAAATGGTCTGCTGGGCAAAAAATAACAAACGCTTGTGTACTATTTACTACTAGTACTTAATACTGTGTATTAAAAAGGGAGGAACCTAAAACTCAAGGACTTGAATATTTAAAAAACAAATCTATAAAATGTTCCTGGTAGACCCTTTATAAACATAAATGCTTTATTAATTTGAATACATAGACATATCACAGGGAGTGAGCATTACACAACTGTAAAATTAAAACAACATAGTCATTGTTAAAGACAAGATGTTATAGGACCTCTCTCAGGGAACATAACATCAAAGTCCTTATTCCAAATTTAGTTCCACCAGAAATAGGGACATTTGGGAGAAAAAAAACCACCAATTTTTTAATTCCATTGAAATATATTGACAGAGCATTTTGGAGAAGTGGAGCAGAGTGGGAAAACAATCAATATTTTGCTATATTATGTAGGACAATCCATCCTAACTATGAACAGTTTATCAATTAAAAGAGCACACTGAAGTTTTATGATAATTTGAGGGTGCTTTCTGTTAACTAGTATTTCAGCCTTGAAGCCCATTTAGGATGGGGTATGTTTAGTACCTATTAAATAGAAAGCCCCTTCAAGTTATCATTTAAATAATATTAATCTTAAACAGTTTTTCTTCAGTGAAATATACACTACACTGTAAAATTGTACGCTGAATTAATAAAAAATTATTAATAATAAATTATTTCCTGAATTGTATGTGCTGATACTTAAATCCTAGTCACAAAGAGGCACAACTTAGTATAAATTTTAAAATAAAAATGTAAACAGAAGCTCAATTTAAAATGAATATAATAAGGAATCCATAATACACAGTCAGGTCTGGTGTTAGTGTCAGACTTCATACACATACCTCTTTAGCATGTGTGCCTATTGTGTGTCTCTCACACACAGTCATTGCACATTCTACCAAAAAAATAACTACTTTACACCAGTTTTACATCAGTGTAACTCCATTGACATCACTGTAGGTCCACATGTTTCTAAACAAAATAATAATAAATTTAGAGCAAGATAAGCTCATTTAAAATCCACTTTCTTTACATTGTTTGAAACAGAGCAGCAGTTCATGGTCTTTTTAAAAAAAAATCTTGTTTTAATATTAGAGTATTGTTGATAATGTATGGTATTAAGTATTCTGATGTTTACGCTTCTGTCATTTAACTCTAAGCAGGGAGCAGTACAGAACTGTATACCTAAGGGGAAGGATTGTTCCCAGCTTGCAAGGAGTATGTGCTCTTGCCATGCCATTCCTTAGGAGATTGCAGCTTGCTCACCTGGCGCACCCAGGCAGTAATATAAGCTGGGGTGGGTCCATACATCTTCCTCTTCCTCACCCCTTTTTAGGCAATTTCCAGTGAGGTCCCAATCTTGCAAATACGGACACACATGAGAAACTTTAGTTGCATGACTAGTCAGGGATTTACATGCATGTTTGCAAGACTGGACCCTCAGTGTGGAGCCTTGTGATCTGCAGAGTCTGCAGGCCAAACCTGTTTCTGGTTCTGTGGTGCAACAAATCACTCTGCTTGGTGGGAAGATGCAGAGGAAACTGTGCGGGGAATTTACCCTCATCCGTGTCTAATAAGTGAAGTATGATTAAAAGAAGTGAGATTAATATAGGTTAAAAAAATCTTCTGTTTAGGCAATGAAGATGTAGGTATATACTGTACAATGTTCAGTATGGTACAGCATACTACCTTCGCATTAGAAACATTTAATGGGCCAAATGTTGGACCCTTCAGACGGCCTCAAAGGTACTGGAACTAGGATAGTTCACTCTGTGTTACAGGAGTCCAAGTTGCACAGAATTCACACCCTTCTTCACCTGAAACACTGTAGCATCTCCAAGGAAAAGGACACTTCCATGGGGTTCCTGCATTCCAGAAAGACACAGAAACGTGATCAAGGCCCAAACTTTTCACTTTTCTGTTCACTGACCTTTAGAAACCCCAGTCAATGCGAAAATGTTTAAACCAAACTTCTTTTCTGAGACTTCAGTTCCAAAGTGCACTGTAGTTTTTGGTATTCTCTGTTAAAATGACACTGGGTCCCAGGATTGTTATGTACATCTGCAGGTTTTCTGTCAGAATCCTGCAATGCTGAACCTGAGTTTTTAATTGACTGCAGTTTCTATAGTGTGAATCACATGGTTATATTGGGGCCTGATCCTCCTCCTATTGAAATAAAGGGCAGAACTGATGTAAGTGGGAGAAGCATCACCTTCCCATGGCCGGCTCCAGGGTTTTGGCTGCCCCAAGCAGCCAAAAAAAAAGCCGGGATCGCGATCTGCGGCGGCAATTCGACGGGAGGTCCTTCGCTCCCAGCCAGAGTGAGGGACCTTCCCCCGAATTGCCACCAAATAGCTGGACGTGCCACCCCTCTCCGGAGTGGCCGCCCCAAGCACCTGCTTGACAAGTTGGTGCCTGGAGCCGGCCCTGCACCTTCCAGAACCTTTTCTCAATTAAGTGCCTGATCTAACAAGGTGCTGAGTGCCTCCTGCAAGGTGCTAAACACTCTCAGTTGCCACTGGCGTCAGTGGAATCCAGCCACATCTTAGCTGCCCCCCTGAACTTGATGTGGGGAGTGGCACAGTCTAGGAAAATATTTAGGTAAGCTGTAAACCACTGAAAATAGACCTAGAATGATAGTGCCTTGCAGTTTAAGCTAGTATAACTCTTTTGCTACTTAAAAGAACCCTCTTTTTCCCCCCCCCCCTCTCAAAGAAACTGCCCTTAAACTTTGAAGTAAAATGTCAGAAAGTTCACAATGCTTTGATCAATCTGAATTCTTCAGGGGTAACTAACTGCACAGCTGTAGATATTTGTTTCCTTCCATGCAGTCAGCCTTCTATCTAGTCTAATCTGCCTACTTATGTTCTTATGTTCCCCATCATTGTGATATCTGGGCGCTTTACCCATTCACTTTGAGGAAGTATAGGTGCATTATAAATATTAAATTAGTATAAGTATTGCTTTTAAATAGTGTCTATTGTGGGCCAAATTTTGTTCCTAGTCTTCCCCGCCCCCGGCAGTGAAATCTGCCTGTACAAAACTTATTGCAGAATCAGAGCCCTAATCACCCTGGTGTAAAGCCAAACTAACTGGATCACTGGAGTTACTCTGGATTTTCATCAGGGTAATTGAGAACAGAGTTTCATACTCTAAATTTTCTGATACCTAAAAGGTGGTTGTAACAGTAAACTTGAGGCTGTGTTGTGAGATGCAGGAGATAAACACCACAGAATTCTAGCAGGTTAGTGTTTGGTGTCAGCAGGCCTGATTCTGCTCTCTGTTACAGTGGCGTAAGTCCAGAGTAACTTCATTGAAATAAACAGCTACTTTGGATTTAAACCAGCGTAAATGAGAACAGAAATTTGGCTCAGTAGTCAAAATTTCCTATTGTAGCTTCACACAATGCATTTTACATTAAAGCTAATAGTGGAAGCTACAAACCTGCAATTCCAGGGAATTAACTCCATGGTTTTGCCCCTCCATACCAAGAGTTTAGCTCAAAGAAGAGGCTATTGAACAGGCAGGACATTCATGCTAACCCTTCAAACTGTGACTCAAACCTGTGAGTTGCATTTCAACCAGAGCACTGAACCAAGAGAACTTACATAAGAAATTTCTGGGGACAATGACATGGCTATTGTAGAATCCCCTTGTGAGCTCATTAAGAACTGGCAATGGCCTCACCTACACATTTGTCAGCAAGTGCCAGGGAATCTCAACAGAGCTGGCTGATACTTGAAAGAAGTGGAAAAAGAGGATAAGGAACATTAGATCATATGAGATCTCATAGAGAACAAAAGTATTCTTTGTATTATATGTGTTTATTATACAAATAAATATTGTAAACACAAAGCATGAAGGAAAGATTGTAAATGCCAGTTACAAAAATAAAACAAAAGGGCAAAATGTCAGATTCCAAAGCAGGGCACTGAGCTCTTTCAGTAAGAAATACTATTTTAGTGCAAGCACTATATTGCCTTTATGGAGTTTTTAAAAAAATTATCCAAAACACAGGCTACCTCAGACTCATTATACACATATTATTAATTAGTTTAAAAGATATGGAAAAAATTTCAGACAAATATTTACATACTAATAATGCTTGTTCAACCTATTTGATTTTCATTTAAGTGCAACAAGAGAGTGACTGACCTCTAGTGCCTATGTTTTAGCAATCTAGTTTTAGATTTTTTTTTCTCTCTCTCTCTTCCCCCCCCCCATGGACTTTTAAAGGAAAAATACTAAAATCTGGTTAAACTTAAAAGGAATTATCCATCTGGTTATTAATTTCTTTGATTTATTTATTGATATCTTAGGGTTCTATGCTCTGCGGGAAAAAGTCTACCCTCCTTAATTATGTGACCAGTTGCATAAGGAAGGGAAGCTCCATGTGGTCCTTCTTGATACCTGTGCATAACTACTGTTAATACTGATGGACATGCACCCTGAGAAGAGAATGGATCCCTCTAAGACAGGAATAATCCTTCAAATATAATTGAGATATGCAGGCCAAACAAACAAATACAGACATGTAATTATTTAGATTCAAATAGATCTTTAAAAATATCTGAATTAATGTACAGACCACTGTCCTACATATGGGCGTTCCACCTTCCACATCCACTCTTCCTCTTTCTCCATTACTTTATAAATCACAATCTTTGTAGATGTTTAACTCTATTTTTTATGTTGCATAAACTGTTTGTCTTGTCAGGGTATTTCTAGGTTTTGTAAACATCTGTACATGTCTTATTTATTGCAATAAATAAATTTGTCTCCAGATGTATCTTTCATAGTCTGCCTGCATTGGCTTACATGCATGTAAATGGCACTCTCTTTATGGATCTGGGCCCAGGAGTCAGTCTGGAATAGCTTAAATTGATTCCCCCATTCAGTTGTTCCTTAAATGTATGATAGGAATGTGAGGTGGTAGACTTCCCGGTTGTAGTGGGAGACTTTCCTTCTTTGGTTTGGGCCAAATTGCCTCAACTAGTGACTGTAAGAAAGACTTTCCTACCCCAGCCAAATGAGAGTCTCAGTAAGTAAGTATTAGAGCTGGTTGGGAATTTTCCATGAGAATGATTTTCTGATGGGAAATGCCCTTTTTGCAAAAAGGATTTTTTTCAAATTCCCCCCCCCCCAAAAAAAAATCCATCAGGAACATCCAAATGATGGCTCCCTGGCTCCCCAGATGCCCACCTGGAAGGCTCTTGTTAATATCACTTTCTCCCTGGAGAAACTGACAAAAAACTTTGTCACAAATTTGGTTGAGCGACCCTTCATGCCCACTCGCTGGACTGCTGTGAAGGGATCTAGGGGTGTTAAGCCTCCAGAGTCTGAACAGAGCCTAGCACTGTTGCAGTCTGGGGGTCCCCAGGCACACTGTCAGTATTAGTCTGCACCCTCCTTTCTGAGAGCTGTGACCTTGTGGTCCTCTGCCCAGACCCCAGAACAAGTGCTGACTTTGTAGATTCCCCTGTAGCTTAAACACACCCTCTCCCAGAATCCCACCAAAGGTTTGAGCATTTGGGGTTACACTTTAACTCTCTCAAGGCACAGTGTAAGTGTAGCATATATAACACACACACACTTTGCACAGGATTCTAACTTTTATTTAACAAATAAGGTACAAGAGAGCCACACATAGAGCTCGGGGTGTGATTCCCTGCTTGTGTGGACACATTTATGCTAGCTCTAATGGAGCTAGTGCACTAAAAATACTAGTGTAGCCAGGATAGCCTGGGCAGCAGCAAGCAGTGGCATGGGCTAGCTGTGCCAAATACAGAGCTGCCTGAACCCCTTGCATACATACTCAGCATAGCTAGCCAGTGCCACTCCTTGCTCCCACCTGTGCTAGCCTGGCTACACTACTATTTTTAGCTCGCTACTTCAGTGAGAGCTAACACAAGTATGTCTATGCCAGTTGGTAATTACACCCCTAGCTCCAAGTGGAGACATACATTTAGAAAACTACCACCATCCTAATCACAATATGGCCCTTACTAGTTCACCCTTTCCTTGGGAGACCATCTGTGTTTATGTAACGAGGCAGGCAGGTGATTTCCCCTGAGGAAAGCAGCTCCTGCCCTTTTTATAACTTTCAGTCCCCTATGTCAGGTGAGTTTAGACTTGAAAAACTGGTTTGCAGTGGGGAGAAGACCTCCCTTAATGATGGCTGCTTGTCAAAGTGTAACGCGTTCTATCGTCAGGCCTTTCCCACTAGTAGCCTACCCCATAGGAATTTCAGACCAACGTGGTAGTAACAAGACCACAGAAAAGACAAACAACCTGCACATTCAAAATGGAGTTTGCAGCCTGGTAAAAGACAGTTACTGATCTACACAAAATTCATAAATTGTACAGATAGAGTCCCCAAATCATCACAGCATACAGCTAGGAAGCTAAAACATTTAGGGAAAAATTTCAGGACAATTATTTTTTTCAAAAATGTAATTTTTCTTTGCAGGAAGGGATTTCTGTTTTCCATCCAGCTCACGTATGTCTCAATATGATGGAACTTAACCTTTGTGAATTTCTAGAGCTTCTTCATAAAACTGCCTCCTCCCACAAGAGCATGCCCTTAACCACTAGATCATAGTCCTATATACCAAGACACCCAAACAATCTTAACTTTGCTGTATAGTGACACCATACAATAGCCTACAGCATTTAAGGCATTTTAATTTGTGAACCCAGATTAGTTTAAAAAAATTAAAGACATTCTCCTATTTTTTTCCTTGTGGCATCACCACTGGGCAACATTAAGGTTGTGCCATAATTGTGGATTTTTTACCTTAACATTTTGCAATGCCTTTTAAGTATAATCTTAACTCTGAATTTTCCCAGGT